CGCCCGCTCCTCCCTCCTCAGGGTAGGATCCTCACACTCTGCCCTTGCTCCAGCCTGGGGTCCCTCCCACAGGAGACAGTCCTCCAGGAACTTCTCCAACGTGAGCCCTTCCCTCAGGCTGCCGTTCTTCGTGAACTGCTCCAGCATGAATCCCTCCCACGGGGTGCCGTCCTTCAGGAGCAGCCTGCTCCAGCGTGGGCTTCCCACGGGGTCATGGTCTTCCTTGGGCACATCCCCCTGCTCTGGTGTGGGGCCCTCCCCGGGCTGCAGGGGGTCTCTGCTCCCCCGTGACCCTCCATGGCTGCAGGGCACAGCCTGCCCTCTCACCACCAGCTGCAAGGGAACCTCTGCTCCGGGCACCTGGAGCACCTCCTCCCCCTCCTTCTCCACTGACCTGGGTCTCTGCAGAGCTGTCTCTCTCACAGCTGCAATTTCTCTTGCAGAGTTCTCTCCCCCACCTTAAACCCCTTATCCCAGAACTACCACCGTCACTGATGGGCTCAGCCTGAGCCAGCAGCTGGTCCATCTTGGAGCCAGCTGTGTTGGCTCTGTCAGACACGGGAGGCTTCCAGCAGCTTCTCACAGAAGCCACCCCTGTAGCCATCCCACTACCAACACCTTGCCTTGCCACATAAACCCCAATATCAAGGGACAGGAAAGACATAGAAAAAGACAGTAACACACACACACAGAAAATATTGAGAGAACACTAGGTATTAGCACACTGCAAATGAACCAATTCCTCAGAATTATTGTTACACAAGCATCCTTCCTAACACAAGTGGCCAATTATTCATTTTTAGGAAAACGGTCAGTGCCAGTAGTAACACAATTCTTAACAGAAGTATTAAATATGAAGCCCAATTCTCAAGAGCAATGAAACTAGGATGGTTTTATATGATGCTGTCTTTAATTCACTTCTTACTACCCTCAAGAGAAATATTCATCCCAATTTTTACCAACACTTTCTGCTGATACACATCTTTTCCTCATGACAGGAGCTGAAAAGGAGGAAGTGTTCCAACTGGCTGTAAAGTTAGAATCCAAGTTTAAGAGACATACTCCTAATTTATTAGATGCACTAAACTGCGCAAGGCTCCTTCTCCAAAGAGGCAGGATTTCTTCTTAATGTTTACTTTCTGCTCTTTCATAGGGATTTAGACAAAAATATAATGACCTGAAGCCCCAGAATCCCTCAACTGTCAGGTTTTCTGGTAAAACTGGCAGCTACAAACCCAGTCACTACTGCGGCAGCAGCAGAACAAGCCCGTTGAAGTGAACATAGCTTAGATGGAAACCCAAGAATCAAGAAGTGAATGAAGAGCAGAATCCTCCGCTGTTATTTTTTAAAGCTGTTACAAATATTCACCTGCTATTATGTGGATAGAAAGAAAGCCTCTTCTGTTGGTTAATTACTAGTTGTTCTTTGTAGAGTCTCAGCCCAAGCGAAAAAGGAAACTTCAAAGGCTTCACTGTCTAATGGCACAGTTTGTGCCCTCCATGAAACTGCCAGTTCTGGTCTGGTTGCACAGGTATAGATCACACTGAGCTTGGGAGTGGATCAGTATTACGAAATAATTGCTAAGCAACTGTGTAACAAAAGGACAAACTTCTGTTGAAATGATCTGGCAAAAAAAAAAAATCACAGCAGTGGGTTAGATGAAAAATCGAGCAGCCTGCCAGCAGTACGATCCCAATACACCCTCATGCCTTATGTGACAGCACCTTCTTCACCCATTATCTGTATAATCAGTGGTTCACCTCTTCTGTTTGTTTGTTTTTTAATGCCCTTATCTGCACATGACAACTTTAAACCAAACACATCGGATCTAACATGGACTACCAGAGTTGAGGACTGCATCTCATTTTCTGGTTAGGCGCTGCAACATTAATATTCTGTAGCATTCTACTGCCACCAGTGTGTAAAAGGAAAAAGGTATCAAGCTAACATGGAGGGAAGAATAAAATAAAGAGGAAATTATTCATAAAGGAATGAAGCCCAGGGATTATATCAAGTATTAAACAAATAAAACGTCTGCAAATAATGCAATACAGAAAAAGGGAAAAGACTTTAAGATTCTGCATATATTTTGTCAGAATACAAATGATCTGCACACTCAGTAACCAATGTAAAACATCAGAATTTATATTAGTGGTATATATTTATCATCTATCAGATACTTCCTGATAAATACTTCTTGCAAACCCATGTGGGGCATGGGTTCAATTCTACATGACTTTTTTTCCTCTTCACAAAGGCTTCTAAAAACAGTGTTGGCCATGAACAAGATTATTCATGACTAATTTGGAAGGATTATTCGTTTTTAATAAGCTTGGTTTAGATCTCTCCCAATGACACCAAAAAGAACAAACGAGGCTGTGCTAGCCCCATCTTAAAAAAACATAAAAGAGTGCAATCTGGGGTGTCAACAGCCACCACATTCCCAAAAGGCACAGAATGGTTTAACTAACTGTGAGGAGATTATGCACTCACATTCTTTCAGTCAGGGGTCATTCCTATATTAATTTGGGACTATCTGGGTAGTGTCTATTCAAAGGTCATATAATTTGTGAAGCGTCCTGACTTCTTCACACCCTCAGAAACAGGCATGTGCAATCTGGGGTGTCAACAGCCACCACATTCCCAAAAGGCACAGAATGGTTTAACTAACTGTGAGGAGATTATGCACTCACATTCTTTCAGTCAGGGGTCATTCCTATATTAATTTGGGACTATCTGGGTAGTGTCTATTCAAAGGTCATATAATTTGTGAAGCGTCCTGACTTCTTCACACCCTCAGAAACAGGCATGTGTAATGTTTATAATATTCTTCAAATAAAACCAGAGGGTCTGTTCTTGCAGAGCAGACCCTCCAAAACTGCATTCTTAAAGAGCATTAACATTTTAAATTAATGAATTTACTTAAAGCTATAATTCTTAAATTTGTTGTAGCGAAACCAACCTCTGTCATACCAAGAGGTATTACCTCAGAATTCTGTTTGAGGAATTTATTAAGCACTCCGCATCACTATCTTACAGCTATGCTACAATTTTCCAGCACTTTACTACAAAGTCCATCATTTCTTCTTGATTAAAAATACACTCTCTGTGAACTGTTCCAAAGTGGTAACAAGAAACTGAGAACTCAAGTACTTTTTTGAAAATTATATCTGAATATAGTGCAACGAATAACTTTTTTACACATTCTCAAAGACTCTCTCAAGCTAAAGGAGAATTATTTACCTATTAAACCAGCACGTTCCCATCCCTTCCAATTTCACAGAATAAGTTAACCAGAACTGTCAAGATAACATAATACAGCTTTCGTTAAGTATCAGAACATTTCTCAAGGGCAATATTCCTCTCTGTGCATGAGTGCCCATTTTTCCACATCGCTTCCATGGGTCCAATTCAGTAGTGTGTCAAATACCCACACCACCCTCATATACTGGCACCAAACTAACACAAAAATAAAAGTAGAAAACCCCAACCAGTCATTTCTTGTTTCAGAACAGTAAAGTCATCCAAAACCTGTTTCTCCTTTTAATTGTCCACAAATTAGAAACCCACATAGGTAACTTTTCATCATGGCTTTTAACTGGCAAGATGTCTGTTATTTGCCAAAAGCTTTTTACTTCTTCAGAGAAAAAATGAGTCTAGTGTCACTAAATACTATTCTAACTAAAAAGTCACAAAATTAGGTTAAGATATATATGGTAAATACCAGCATATATGACACAGATAAAAATAAAATACACTAAACTGTGTAGGATACTTTTAATGATGAGAACCAGAGTTACTGTTATCTTCAGACTATTTCATTTGTAAGGGACCTATGACAATCATCTAGTCCAACTGCCTGACCAATTCATGTTATTAAGGGAATCATCCAAACGGATCTTAAATACTGACCAGCTTGGGGCATTGACCACCTCCCTAGGAAGCATGTTCCAGTGTTTGACCACCCCTCTGGTGAAGAAATACTTCCTAACACCCAGTCTACACCGCTCCTGACTACTTAAAAATTAATAAAACTGCTCAAATCAAAGAACAAGTTATTGGACAGCAACAGTAAACACAAGGCAGACAATAATGTACATAAATTTGTGTGTTGAAAAATATTTCATCCCTGGTATAGCAGACTCTTTCAATCCATTTTTCCCCCTCCTAGAGGACAGTATCACGAAGCATAAAAAACACACAACAGAAATGGAAGTACAAGGCTAAATAAACTCTACAGTACAAGCACATTTTCCTTTACATGTTCCCAATAGGTGGCAACAGAATACCAAAAATACAAAGTAGTTTATAATTCTTTCTTCATCCACAAAGTAATGGAAGCACCGTTACAACTTCCATCAATGAACTTGCATGAGCAGTTTTATTCAAATGAATCGTTGCATCTCAGCAACAACAATTGTCAGGACAGTTAATGTCAAGAGCCAGAGAATTTACAGAACAGAAACAAGGCATTTATTAAAATGCTAGTTGTTATGAAACAACTAACTTAGGGCTTATACTCAGAGCTTACCTGAGGCAGTGAACAATGTATTACAAGCAGGAATTTACAGTAACAAAATGTTTCTGCCCACTAAAAAAGAAATGTTAAGGAAGGAAGAAAATTTTAGACTGCATTTTTTCTTGTTGACATGCACACCCAGCTCTTCAGCAATGTTTATTTTCAAGACTGAATAAAAGGGTGAGCATCTTAAAGTTTTCAGCTGAAAACCCCCAACTTTATCAGCAGAAGCAGGTCCATACTGACTCCCTGATTTCTTGTAAGAAACTACAGGAAATCAAGAATTCTTCTTCCCTTGACAGTTATACGACTGTTTTCTTTCTATGGCACAGAGCTACACACATCAAGTCTAAATAATGACTACTTACTTGCTTTCAAAACGAGCTAAGTCACTCTCCAAAGAAATTGTCTCCGTTGTAATTTCTACCTTTCTCACACTGCCGAAGAAGTCTGTTATCAGAACATTTTGCGGGTCTCGCTGGAAGAGATCAGTTCGGTGCCCAGGCGTGGAAACACACAAACTTTTTGGACAGACCTGAAACTGGAAACCAAGATGGACAATCATATCCTGTCCCTCATTCATCAACAGTCTCTACATATACCTTCCAAAATAAAATCACTACAAAAAGAAAGATAAATGCCATATACAACTTGCATTGAAAGTTCAGCACAAGCCCCACAGCTGAAAAAAATTATTTAATAAAGGCATTAAAAGGCATAAACATCTTGATTACGCACTGCAGCAAACCTTTATCCTCACAATTACGCCATCTGAGTTTAGAAATGCTTCTGTGAAAGCCAACCATCAATTACATCTAATGGATAAAATGCACAAATGCATTTCTGAATACAGATGCAGTAATGCTGCTATAACCTTCCAAAAAGCACAAGTGGGTATAAATTCTTCCTATTTATCAAAGGGAAGCAGGCAAGATTAAACAAACCTTGATAAGTAGCTAATAGTAAAGGCTTCATAAAGAAGCAAGACTTTTGATTGAAAAGAAAAACAAAACCCTCTTCTAGTCTTATTTCTAGTTTATAGCCTGCAAAACAATGCAGAATGAGGATCTTCAAATATCAAAGGTGTTTTATGCACATTAAGCTCACAGAGACATCCTGTAAAACCTACAAATTAGCTATACACCTAATTATTGGTTTTACCTATGTATTTTGTCTACATAACAGATCCACTACATCCAGCACACATTGCAACACCTGGAAGACAAGAACAGCACTAACAAACTGTTTTCAGACTCAATTTTGCATAAAGGTGCATTTGCAGAAAATAATTAGACATAACAGTGGCAGATTTGTTGTAGCATTTAGAATATCTGACAAGACAGCATGCCTATGTAGTAACAACCTTGTTATGTACCCAGCTGATATCCAAGGCAAAACCAATGCATTCAGGACAGTTTATGTCGAGGGATCTTGTAATGCACATGATGTAATGTAATAGAATAAATAATAATTGGTCTATTTTTATTAATAATGCTACATAGCTTAAAGTGCCATGAAATGCTGCTGTCCATGCACGGGCAGCCCAGAGACCACCTTGGAACAGTGTGCGTTATGCGAGTCGGCATATTCCATCAAAATAGAACATTTAACAGAACAGATTGCTGTACAGGACTATGAAGGACACTCGCCACATGGGTGCTTATCTTTCTTAAGATTAAGTTCTCCAAGTGACTTTTACAAACAGGTCCATCAGTCACTGGATCTAGACCTCATGTACCTAATTACCTCATGGCTCAGCTCTTCAGTTACATTCTCAGGACAAAAATCATAGGTCCTAATTAGCTCAATGCAGATGCAACCTCAATTATCCCAGATTATGACTGACAAAACCTGTGAGTTTCAGTCCAGACTTCCTAGCAGAAATTCTGTGCTCAGCCTGACACATAATGCATGGGCTTGTGTGGCTCCTTCTCTTACGAAACCAGAGCCCTACATTTAAAACACCTCCCAGAGAGGACACAATGTACCTAGCTTTTCTTCATACAGGACAGATTCTATCTCCCCATTCCTCCCTTTTGCTCCATTACAGTTTCTCTTTCATAGCTTGTCTTCTTCATCTAAGCCTGTAAGCACATGGCATTAGGCTGCTGGTCCAGGGAGACTCGAGCTCACTTTTCTGTTTACCTCAAGTGAAGCGTACAAGCACACGTATCCACTGAGCTCTCTCTTTACTGATCCCCCACTTTCTTGTTGGCAGACTATCACACAGCTGCTAAAGAAAAGAAAGGGGCAGATCAAATCTTTCCATTAGCCTCCCTGTGAAGTGAAAATTAACTAGACCCATCAGCATCACGCTTCCCATACAAAGCCACTTGTCGGTGCACACAAACCCTCTCAAGTTTCATTTTCACTAAAATGCAATTTTCTTCAACTCTGCTCCAACTAAGGGCACAAGCATAAAAACTAAGTCTCTCAAGCAAGCTATAAAAGCTAAGTATTTGTTTTAATCCTCCTATTGGATGCATAAATCTATCCTACAGTTATACCATTAAGTCTCTCTTCCAACCTCTGAGGAGAGTGTAAATGTCCCAAAACAACTGCCAACAGCACAAAGTGGGAAACTGATACTGCACCCAACTATTCCTAGCCTGTCCCACAACAATTTACTACCATAAGTTGTTGAGATGAGTCTTGAACAAGAATGTGCAATGGCACTGGGAAGACAAATTCAGTATTAAAAATCTACCTCCCCAGCACCAGTGTGAGAAGAGACTGCAAAGCAATTAGACCACAGCAGACTAACACATGTAACGGAGGTCTTCAGACAAAAAAAGGCAAACACAGGCTAAATGAAACACATTTGTTCATGTCAATTTTTCCAATTTATTTTGTTAAAAAAGATACTATTCAAATAAAGCGAAACAATTCCCCAGAATGGGAACTTTGTTGTCTTGACTTTTCTTAACAACATTTTTAGCTATTTTATAACAAATAAGATCTCATTTAGAAATTTATTTGAATCTTACTTTAAAAGTTCTGAAGTGTGACATTTCAATTCAGTCTTTACTTTTTTGGAATTGTGATCAAACCAAAAGTCAGTCATTTGCACAGCTTTATGCTATCCCTTAGCAACACAGATGGAGCAGGTGGGGAGTAGGTGGAATGGATTATGAAAAAAAATGCCTCATTCAAAAAATATCCAAATCTTGGGTGGATGTGAAGAGAAGCTGTTTTAAGATTGGTTGGAGATAAGTAAAGAGCTGGTATGATAGAAGCAGTGTAACAAATACACAGTATTTCTAAAAGAGCAAACATTTGACATATCAGAAGATGAGAAAACTAAACACTAGCTAATAATCTTAAAGCTTGTTAGTAATCCACTTAATATGTTATCCTGAGTTTGGAAATCATTAATTTAAAAAAAAAAAAAAATCAGATAAGCAGCAGGTCTTTGTTCTTAAACCAGCAGAACACTAGCAGCACATGCCAGTGCCAAAGCATCCCCTGCAACTGCTGGCAAATAAATGGGCTCATACCCTTACCAGGGACAAACCATATGTCATTTTGGAACCCTTAGATGAAGGCCTGAAAAACATCGACCCAGAATCAAGAGGTCACATTTGCTGAAATACGTGTGTATTATGACTCGCTACATGATCATCACAAATCATGATATATTTGGGTCCATCCTCTTCCCTTCCCAGAGCAACAAGCAGCAGACTGACATACGAAAAGATGACTTGCGGTATGTAATGAATTTACTAATACAGGATGGCTTCCCACAGCTCTTCCCAAGTATTTGGCATATAAGCAAAAACAAAGGGGAGAACATTTAGGTATCTTTTCCAAAGAGCTCAAAAGGTAAAATACTTGGCCAGCTAAAAGTTTCCTATACTTTTCACAACAACTGGATTAGTATCTAGCTGGCTAGACCAGTTATACTGCTTCCCAAATATTGTCTTATACAGTAGAAACCACTGTTTATTATTTATGATTTTTTTTTAATATCAATTCATTTTGTGGTTTACAGAATAGAGTTCTAAAGCACTGTTTGAATGAAACGGGTAGAAGATACTTAATAAAGAACTTGTATATTCTTCAACAAGATTTATTTTGAAGTTAACTGTATCCCATGATCAGAAGGTATTAAATTATAGGACAGAATTTAATTCCCATAGTAGTAAAAGAATCTTGAATCTTAGTCACTGAATCAATTCTGTATCAACATAAAATCTGTGAAGTGTGGGCTGTTTAGAGTGAATTCTACTACACATGTAGCAGCCAGGCTAACACCATCCTCTGTAGACAGGGGGTGGCATAAAACTTTTGAGCAGCTGCTCATTTTACAGAAATGAATCAAAGACAATGTGTGCTGTTAAGTGTGGCTCTTAGATCACTGACACAGGATTTACAGCTACAAGGCACCACAGCATCACATATTACTTCAATGAAACTAGTATCAGAACAGGTACAAGGGTTAATAGAGTAAATAAAATATGGTTACTTTTTATGTCACCTCACCAGCATATACATCTGTTATAGAAGCATTTTCATAAATTTTATTACAGGTTATCTGGTTCATTTTTTTTTCCTTATGCCTCATACCTGAGAACTAAAATTAATATTTACCTAAGATATGATTAACTCTCAACACTGATTGATTTGGACACATCTTGCTCTGGAATCTCTGCAGAAATACAGAGAAATTAGTCTCTGCAGGCATTTGTGAATGCATGGTTAGAATTTTAAATGTTCAATCACCTTTGCAAAACATTATCAACCTTTCCACATCTGCAAAGTGTCTGCTATCCACTAAACTCATTTTAGACATTTCCTACCATCATTTTTCCCATGCAAATACTTCATTCTATGGAAATGAATATTTAATTAACACTTTATTCATTTTTCAATGAATAAAAAAATCTCCAGCTAATTCTGCTTAATTTTTTCTGTAGACAGCAAACCACTTTCACACTGAGTGCAATCCTTAAAGTGTTACACTACAACTACACTTAATAATGCCAAAAAAGCCCTCCCCACAAAGATGCTTCCGAGAGAAACAGCAGGAGAACAAAAAGCATTTAGAGGACCCTACAGACAAAATAAATTAATTTTGAAACTGTTAAAGTCATTAGCATATTCACGAGCGTTGAATATTCTACTTACTAGGTCATTCATATTTGTCTGACTGGCTGGATGAATTTCTTCCAAGAACTCTAGCACATAGAACGTGTATCTGTCCATAAGATGAACGCCAATCCCAAGATCGGGTTGATGCTTAAAAATAACACACAACAGTTATTGGGCATTTGCAGGAGAGAACTCTGTATTTAGGAGAGGAAACAGAGTGTAATAGCATGTTAAAAAGTTAAGCATAAGGGGGTTTTGTTCTTAGGCAAATTACACAAAGAAAATAGATAGTCATTAAGCAGCATATTGTTGACAAACTGAATAATACGGTCTACCTTCATTTTTCTAGACTACATCCTGGTGATCTCCATGTATGCCAAAAAGCAGGGAACCTTCTTAATGGTCCAGTACAGACTAGTAGGCTTCCCAAGCTTCTTAGGTCTTGGAAAACAGGGTTGGGATAGATAGCTTATTTTACAACGCTGCGTGGGTCCAGGTAATCCTGACCTGCTGGTTTTGGTCTGGCTAGGATCTCTCTCCCAACACTCCTTCTATTCAACTGGGATAAAATTATAGAGGGTGAGAGGTAGAGGGTATTTTTTTTTGTATATCAAGTGTAAGAAGTCCTAGACTGACTACATCCCACACATACCTCTCAGTAATCTTCACACAAAATTTCTTCCTATTCTAGGCAATGCATACATTGGCCAGCAAGCACAGAAATCCATTGTCCCTGGTCCTTTGGGACTGTGCTCTTACAAGTTTTGTCAAGTCCACACTTTGTAACGAAATACCTTACCTATTCAGCAGTTAGAAGGGAAATTTTTAGTTGAAAGTCAATAGGATCCCTGCTTTTAACTCAGGCATTCTGAAAATTGTCTTCAGGATCACAAAAATCTACTTACTGATAAAGAATCTTCTCCAATTTGGCTGCTAGCCAAGGCCATTATATTAGGTGAATAAAAGCGTTCATACATGGATGCTCCTTGACACGTATCTATAATAAACAACAATTCATTGTACCTGAAAGAAATAGAACATCTGCTTTACCCATCTCTCTGTAAAGTGAAACAACATGTACATACTTTGCTTTTAAGTTCCCAGGAAAGCTGCTAAAAACCTAAGGAACAGAATAGTTCAGAGTGATTGTAAAATGCAAGTTTAGTCAAAGCAATACATTTGAGCAGCTGTTACTGCGGGAAGCTGGAAACAAAAAATTAAAATTCTTCTTTCTGAATGCAAACTTCCACGAAATTTTGTGGACAACAGATAGTATCACTGCTGAAAGCAAGCAAGGCCTACTGGTAAGACTTCAGGCATGTTCACAAAATACAGTATTTATCTTCTAAATAACGCTTTTTTTCTTACCTTCTTTTCTGCCACATTTGTTCAAAGGCATCAGCAAGTTCAACATTTGTGATTTCTTCAGAATCTTGAAATTTTAGGAAACCATTTCCACCATGGCCTGACAGAAAAATCAGAAGTTAGGCAAGTATGTAGGTTAAAGGAAGATATTCAGCCTGGTAGATCATTTTTCTTCAAAAATGCAAACACAATTCTCTTTCTCCAAACAGACTCCAGGAAAAGAAAATATTAGTATAGTAAGAACGGTACAAATACATCATTTAAACTGGGAACTATAAGTGCTCTGTATTGTCTTACAGGTTTTGTTCTTAATTAGTATGACATACTAAAAAAAGAAAAAAACCCTTTTGCTGATCCATTTGTTTGTTTGGGCTCCTGATGTGATTTCATGCTTTCAAACAGGCCCATCCAACTGATCCAACACACATCAATAAATTGCATACAGAAACCTATAATTACCTGTCATATATATCAGAATATTGCTTCTGTCATCAGAAAGAAGACGCTTAGATCGTGGTGTGCTTGGTGGGATTCTTCCTGTTAATACACGCAAGAAATTTTCAACAGTAACCTAAGAATAGAAGCATAAAGTAATTTTCTAAAGAGAAAAATGTTAACAACTCTAGGCTGGGTTACATAAATTAAATAATGGAACACTAAAATATGCAGTGCCTCTAACCAGATGTAATACTGCATGGTGATAACTGCATAAACAGTCATTTTTTGTTTAAGGTTTTACTGCAGGTTCATAATCACATGGTACCTTTTACTTTATCCTGCTACTATCAGCCTGTTGCTTTATTATATCCAATGTCTACTACCACTGTAATTTCTAAATACATTTTCATTCATCTATAAACCTGTCAGCATATAGCTTTAGTCTGCCAAAGCTGCTCACATACTCACAAAATGCTCCAACATTAGTGTGGGTTACCATGGATAAATAAAAGTTTAAATTCCCTCTGCAAGCCAGGAAAGGAAACACAAGCTCAATTTTAGTTACATAAGTCTCTCATTGACCAGGTAAGACCCATCTGGATGGGGATCATAAAACATCCTATAAAACACAACTTCTTCATGTAGACATACACAGCTCAAAGACGAGGAACAAATCCATACTCAGGAAAAAACATGATAAAAAGAACATTTCTCCATTTCCGTGTTGTATCTTCAGCTTCAGAGAAATAAAACTCCTACTATATACTTAGATAAGCTCCTATAAACTTTTACAGGTTTATTATATAGCATTATTAAACCATGCAATTGGTGTTCAATTTAAGATCAGCTGGTAAAGACACTATCTGTTTGAAGGAATGTACACACAAAAATAAAAAGGTGATAGAATGTAGATTTCCACAGATTGATTACTTTACAGTAATGATTAGGTTATGGCTTTTATTTTGACAAAAGCATCCACTTAAGATTAGAAATTTAGGTAAGTCTCCCGAATAAACCCTTAGCACACCAGACGTTTCACAGTGGTGCTAAGTGTTTGCATGATGAGACACTGTCCAGCCATTTCCACAGAAGAGCAATTTCAGCAACACAAACAAGGAGTTCCGTATATTCTTTTAACTGTGGAGATTCCATTATTTACAGCAGCCAATACACAACATGTTGCTAATGAATTTCAAACACAAAATCAAGTATCAAAGCAGGGAGGGTGTGTGTTTTAATCCTATCAGGTGATAATAAAAGCCCAGCCCAAAGCCAGTAACGTGAATAGAAAGGTTTCCTCAGACTTAGAGATACTGTATAAATCTTTAAATCAACACTAATTAAATCACTGGGTCTTTGATTTTAAAGCACAGTCACCTCATAGCCTCTGTAATCCACTTCCACATCATCTCCGTAGACATTTAGCTCCATGTTTTTATGACTAAACACAGTAGCTGGTTTGGGATTTCTGGGATTACATGCCATATCATCTGCTAGCATCAGGACAATGTGACTATGGAAAACAAGACAAAAACATGTCAGCCATTCTGTTTTCATGTAACAGTCAAACAGAAATTACAACAACACTGTCCCATGACTACAACAACATCTTATAACATCAAGAAGATTCCTGGAATTAATATTAAGTGAAACTTTGCTTAGTTAAACCTTATGTACATCCTCACTATTACAAAGATGCCACACACGGAAATGCAACTAGCTGTTATTTATCTACAGGATTAAGTTAGCCCAAAGATAGGCACGAGAGCAGTTGACATTAACAACTTTACAATACAGACTTGCCTGGACCTAGGCTGGCAGAACTCTTCATAAAAAAATAATCTGTAGATGTTTATAGGGCACTAAATCACTTCATGCAGCTCCACAGAAGAAATCCCAGCCCGTTTGCACCCTCTCAGGCAGATCGATTAAAAACATTATGACAATTTTTAATTAGATTTGAGGAGCTCCTGAACATTTCTTAATCCATGATACTACATCTGACACACTACTGTATGATTATCTGTGTTAATGGGATTTTCCTGAAGATCACAAGCAGGCTGACACCAGACATTTCATCTTCATAGGACCAAGAAAAAAAAAATCATCAACATAGCATTTCATAGTACCAAGTAAAAAAAAAACCAAACCCAAACCACAAAACAACAGCACATTATAAAGCTATTCCAAATTGCATGCAGCCAAACATCTATATTTCACCTGGCAGGATCAGGTTTGGGTCAAAATACAAAATAACAACTAGTCACTGGAGGCTGCTAGCACTAGGAAGAACGTACCAGAGATGCCTGGAACTAGTTGAAGGCAGTTCTTTCCTTGGATATACTTTCTCCTGGACTGTGATCTCTGTGTCCTCCCAAACAATGCTTACAAAGGAAAGTTCTGTATGCTGCAGACATGCTGGGAAAACTGACAGTCCTCTAAACATTAAAGCCAGGATCACCAGGATTTCCTTAGGCATCTATAATACATATAGCCTATTATTCACTGAATTTTGGTGCCTAAAATTTGCTTCCACAGTTCTGGTACAAGTAAACTACATTCCAAAACAGATGGAAGGAACTGTGCCAATATCCCAGAACTTCCAATATGAACACAACTAAAAGACACTTCGGAACAGTTTGTTCACCTTCCTAATCCTGCTGTTGAAGAAGGGATACTATTTTAATGACTGTGCTATCACTAGAGAAGGACAATTTGATGGTCAAAGCTTCCGGTTTGTCAAAAAACATGCAAAATGTATTTTCCAAGGCTACTTTCAATATGCAGGAGCTGCTTTGTTCAGAGTTTTTACTTTACAGACTCTCAGTGTAGTTGCAGGTGTGGAAGTCTAGTTTTAGTACAGTCAGGGTTGCTAACATACCCACACTGAAAGGAAATTCAAGTACAGCAAAAGCCTTATCTCTGAGCAGTATTGTCATTGCTGAAGGTATTCATCAGTTTTCACATTACGGTTTCACCAATTCACTAAGTGGTACATTTTATTGGCCAAATTACTTTTATCCAGTTAAACTGGGAAGAGAAAGGTATTTTTATACTGCTTCAGGCAACAGAAGAACTTTAATAGCACATTTGCAAGGAATTGTATTCACCAAGATTCTCTCACCTATCAGGAATATGACACTTCTGTATACTGAAAGAGTATTTGCCACATGACGATAATTAAACCAGAACCGAGATGTACACACCTTGAATTTTTAAGGAGAGGGGGAAAAAAAAGCATATTACAAAATGTGAAAGATATGAATTGACCCGGAGCATCGCATCAGAAAACCACGATTACAGAAATATCAACAAACCAAATCAGAAAGAACATAGCAATACCAAGAAACTCATGATATAAGCTATATAAATCTTTGTTGTAGCCATGCAACAAATGCTGAAAGTAAAAGTTTTTTTAAAAATGTCTTAACATCCTGACTCATTAAAAAGATTGTCATAAAACTCAAGTAAAGAAAGTGGCACTTCTGGGACTAGTTCAGCAATAGTAAGTGGATAAGCTAAATTTTTTCATTTGCTTTCTCCATATCAAATGGAATAAAAATCAAAGGAAGAGTTCTCATCTCAACAGCAAACCCATTCTGGGAGCATTCTTGCACAAAGGCATAAGTGAATTGATGCAGAAGCCACACACAAGGGAAAATACACTGAGGACATTTGCATTTAAGGAGTCAAATATAATAAAGTAAGAGCTAACTGAGCTCTAACTAAATTCTGAATACAAATTCTCAAAAAATCCCAAAGGAGTTCAGGTTCTACTGTTCTAACAGGCAAAGGGTTGGGGATGAGCCATTCCCATACTTCAAATATTCCCCAAATCAGTTACTATTTAATCTGTCCTCAAAAATCTTAAACCAATGAGATTCCAAAAAAACCTCAGAAGCAATCTGCTGTAGTTTCTTTGTCACCTTATCACTTTCCTTGTGTTTAATTTAAGTTCACCACTTTTTGTTTGTTCTGCACAAGGATGGCAATTCCCTTTTGGACACCAATTTCCTTCACTTTCACCAGACTTTCAAACAGACAAAGGAAGAAGCATTTTGCAGGAGGTGGCTTTAAAACCACTAAAAAGCAGAAGCAGGAACAAGCTTTTAGGGAAGTTTTAAAAAAAAATTTCAGCTTTAAATGTACAGCTCTAATTTAAATAGAAGCATCTTTACTTAAAGTTACACTATATCTTTTTCTCCAGCCTTTTCATAAAAAGAAATGAGTAGCATCTTTAATAATAATAAAAATTCAGCCTGAAAGGATCCCCTAGAGTCTTGATTATCCCATCAGTTAGGGGTTTCACAAAAGCCCATGGGAATCAGTCCATGAGAACATTTGCCTTTCAACAAGATTTAAAGCTGTGAAAACTAACTGCAGCCAATCTAGCTGTGACATTTCAAGGTATTATCATCTGCCCCTTTCCTCCACTGTCTCCCTTACACCACAGTGGAAAACGCATCTATGCTTTAAATACAGATATTCACCCTGCAGCTTATTAATTCTACCACCGACAAGAGGTGATTGCAGAACAATCCCAGGCTTGAAGGGTACGATAGCAGGAAAACTTTCCTATTTTACTGGTTAAAAAAAATCAGTAGCAATTGTTACAAACCTTAACCATGAACTACTGAAAAAATATAACCAGCAGAAAATCCGTGCGAACAGAAAGTATAGCTCCTTGGACCTAATTTTTCACTTTCTTTGTGTGTTTTCATGGGTACTAATAAAAGCACCTGTTCGTAAATAGTGTTAAAAATTATGTTTTAATAATATTGAGTTTGTATATTGTAGACTATAGAAACTATTCCTTCTAATTCAATTAATTACTGTTAACTTTCCTTTTATATTGCTCAATTTTAGTATCTGGAAAACAAACAGCTGCTACTGAGTAATTACAATAGTGTTCTGAAACAAATTAGTCATTAAGACCTGAACTGTGATTAAGAACCAATTGTGTAGCATGATTCAAAGCTAATAAAAGATTCATGGCAAAGGAAAAAAAATAGAAGAAGAACAGTTTATCTAAACATTATTCTGCCTGGATTTATTTTATTCTAAGCCTGTTATCACAAGCTAACGGATTGACTAAGAACAAAAATCAGAAATAAATTGTACCTTTCTGGTCAGAGAGATATACTTCTCTGATATCAGAATTCCATTTCTGTTCAATAGGCACTGTAGTAATTTAACTGTTTTAATGCTGTCAAACTTTTGTTTTATGAATCCTGCCATGATGTACCGAGTGCCTGAAATGCAGTCACACTGAGAAGACAATTTATCATAGTGTAATAAATTTGCAGGCACATTTTCTCATTTATTCATTTTATCTTTCCATTTCTTTCAAACAAACAAAATCCTTGAGCGACTGTTGCAATTACAGCTCCTGATGAAAAAGTGTCAACTTTACTGGAAGAAAACAACTTGGACCACACTTACCAAAACTGCCCAGTTATTTGTATGTCCACTTTTAAAGAACTGTTCTGCTTGATCCTGAAAGATAGAGAAAAATATTATATGCTTTCAATCAGTAATAAAGAAACGAGTGTTCATACTTCTGTTGTTTCCAGAAAAAGTGTGTTCAATGCATACGTTTACTACATTTTAACACTGCAGAAATCTTAGAAAAGCATCAAGAGGGGTAGTTTTTCTTATTCTGTTCTGCACATCTCATGCAAGCTAATTGCTCCAAATCTCTCCCTAAAAGTTCCCAAATAACAAAGAAGAAAGATCAGTCACTTTCAGCTTAGTTAAAACAAAAAGCCCACACATCTCTATTCCAAAGGACACTCCAAGAACAAAATAACATGATTTATTGACTTAGAGCTTCTTCCTTAATAAGAAAAAGGGCTTGGATTAATTTCTTTTTTCATTGTTCCTCTCATCTTTTCAAAAGCAGGTAAATGGATATGCTATTTCAAGCAATTTTAAATCCAGGGTAGTTACATTTATCTTCCCAGATTAGGAGCTATGACAACAACCCTCTCTCTGATCTGTGTTATCCATAGTTCCCACCGTGCTTTGCAGAGGAGAGGGCCCTTTAACAGACAACAGAAGTCAGGACTCAGAAAGGGGTCAGGCTTCCCAGAGGTAAGGGAGCAATGTCACCAGACAAGAATCCAGACTCACTGATTGTGAACCAAAGCCTGTGAACTCTCTGACACGTCCCGGGCTGATGCCTGTGGCCTCCCACAAAACACGCCACAACCGAAGAAGCGTTTGCTAAAATATATGTAAAGCACACTGTAACTAGCAAACAATTTGCAGTTTAATTAGGAATCCAAAGACCCTACAAATAATTCTATTGGCTATTTTTTGTCCTATTGGTAACTAATTTTCAGTATAAACCCCGCGTCAGGGCGCGCAAGCGACGGCCGCCCCACCCCTTACGCCCGCGGCGCCGAGGGGTGC